GCCGCTGAGTTGCTACCGTTGCTCGCGAACCGCCGCCGATGGAGATCGCCGAGGGGTCGCGCTGCTGCTGGTTCGAGGAGACGCCGCCTCTACAATTGCCGCCGTGAGGTGTGGTCGCCGGAGAAGAAACTCAACGAGGAGGGGGGGTGACGGCGGCTAGGGCAAGAAGGAAGAAGAAGATAGAAAAACTCTATGTGTTTTCTTTTCTTTTCTTTTTATTAACTTTCTTTTCCTTTGTGTTAAAACCAAACCAACCCAAAAGGCCCAACATGACCAAGCCCAAGAGAAAAGAAATCCATTCCAACTTAAGACAAAACTAACCACACGGAGCCCGATATATATATAAATTTAATTAAAGTTTAATTTAACATAAATGAAAATCTCCTGATTCGAGATTAACCAACGGCCTGAGGGACCCGAGGCGTTACAGATGAAGCGCATGGACAAGCGCATGGATGATGGGTACGAAGGTATTAAGCTGAATTAAAATCCATCCGGAAGTTGTTGCGAAGAATCGCTAAGGTAATAACAGTTTTCACTTATAATAAGTATGATGTCGTTTTCATATAGCGATAACTAACTTGTCCTCTATTGTATAGGGTTTACCTGTCGACCCGAATGACATGAGAAGAGGCAGCATTCATGATGGTACTGGGCAAGGAGATGGTTCGAGTGATGGCCCTGGGCCAGGAGATGGTCCGAGTGATGCACCTAGTGGGGGACCAAGTGATCGGGGTGATGGTCCTAAGGATGGCGATGGTTCTACACCATCTCCTGGGGACGAGGACGACACGGATGACATGATCATCGATCCCCCCCATATGATCGTGCACGAGACAAAGGAACATCAGTCCGGCCAAACGATTGGGGACCAGGTCTTACCAGAACGTGAGGTATGTGTTCGTAATCCATAAGTTCAAATTCGATCGTAAGCATGGTCTAAAGAAGGTTACTCTTACCTGTATCAACAACATCCACCAGCCTTATCGCGCAAGGAAGACATGGGTACAGAGGACGTGCACAAGGAGTGTATGGATACCGGTCTACATGCGCGTTTTGAGGCTGCCCCTCTCGAGGAGACTCCTGTTCAGAGCAGACCGGTGAACCATATTATGATCGATTTCGCTTCCGTTAGAGTCATCTATGGACAACGAGTTATTTATTTTTGACTTTTCATCTCTAAACACAAGATTTTATTTGCTAACATAATTTATCCAGGACGAATACGCCGAGGATTTCACAGACTCTGATGCGGAAGGGCCGGGAGAAGCAAAATCTCATAATGCTGAGCATGCATCGACGTCGCAACCGGACTTGGATGAGGTACGTGTGCTATCGCAGCCCATTGAACGTTAGAACCCTCGGCAGGGGTCTCGGAAGAGGAAGCTCCTATGGAAGCTTCGGGGTCGTTCAATGTCATGGTGGACGGAAAGCGGAAGAAGGTAATGCGATATGACCCACTAGTCCACGTCCGCTCTGAACAAATCCAAAAGTTTCATGCTTGGCTGGCAAACCCTAACACCGACCGCGCCACTTGCAAATCATGTTATGGTGATCGAGGAAAGATATGGTTCCGTGACCTTATCACCTCAGGCAAGTGGATGACGAATGAGGTACGGGTTCGAAACCCTAAATATGTGTTGTACTGGTATTTAGTTTTTTTCTAACAACAATAACTTATATAGGTGATCGATTCGTTGTTTATGTTCACGCGGAACAAACTTGAGCAACGGCAGGACTTGTGTTGTCGAAGATTCACCACSAGTGACATTGTCCTTGCGGTATGTAATATATATATATATCTCATACGCTGACCATTCTTACAAATTCATGGGCTAATCGAACTTTTTTCTTCGTTGCAGAACTTTCTTCGACGAACAGACGAACTATATCAACGCATGACGGCTCGAACGCAGTACCTGCAAGAGTTGCAGCGGAATACGATTGGGTTGGCAAGTGTACGACCATCCTGAGCTATATGGACGGGACGCACACCGACTATCAGACACGATGGCTTGATCTGGATGTTGTTTACCTGCCATACAACATCGGTGGCAACCATTGGATTATGGTACACATCGATCTGCAGGATGATGAGATCATTATGTGGGATTTGATGAGGTCGATGACACCCTTTCCAACTCTGGAGTCGGAGTTACGTCTGATGACTGTTGTCCTATCGGCGTTGATGCACAGGGCCGGTGTTCAGGTATTGAGGCAGACACTACCGTATATGCCATGGCGCATTCATCAAGTAACGTCCGCACCTCAGCAAAGCGGGTCTGGCGACTGCGGGATGTTTTGTGTTAAATACTTCGAGTATGATGTAACAAGGTCAAATATGACCAGCTTAACTCAGGACAACATTAGTTTCTTTAGGGAGAAATTAGCCATAGAAATGTGGGCAAACCGATCTATATTCTGAATCAAATTCGCTTATTAGTACTCTGCCATCATTTTATTACCTAGCTCTTATAAACTACTTATCTTGCTTCGTATAAGAAAAATATGTTAAAAAGGCAATTTGATACATAAAACGAACCAATACAACATCGACCATTCATATTCTACCCAAAAACAACAAAGTATGGAAATCACTGAAACATTTCACGAGCGAGGAATATTTCAGTTAGTGCAAATGAAGTCGCTGAAATATTTCTTGGGCGAGAATATGGCCGTTTCGCCCGAAAAATGTTTTCATAACGCTGTTCTTGATGGAACTCTTAGACATGCACAGCGGAAGCTAAGGATCATAATACACTTAATGAAGCAATTTAACTAAAATAAGCATGCTTGAAAAAATGATGAAAAAGGTAAAGAGAAAGAGATTAACTTCATACCTTTGAAGACCTCCATTATAACTTCTTCTCCTAACTCAATGGGACCACCAATGACAAATCTATGCTATCCTCGGGTTGATGAACACGGTTCTGGGATCGAATTTTGAGTGAAAACAAAGGGAAAACACTAATTGCTAGGAGAAGACAATAGAAATTTGAGTGGAAAAATTCTGCACTTATGCAAGGAAGCATTAGCCTTATCCAAGTGATCTTCATCGCCTATATAAAGACCAAATGCATGCAAAGACAAGCCTTGCATGCCTTCCACTTCAAATCAATATCTCATATTAATTGGTTTTTGACACCTAAGCTTGATTAATCACATTAATCAAATTACAACTCTTTTTCATGCTTTGAACTTATTTAAAACTAATTTAAATAAGTCATACTCTCCATAATAATTAAATTTCAATTAGATTATATATTATATCTCATATAAAATACAATATTCCCTTAAAAACTGAATTTGAACACTTCAAATTCTTGCTTCACCTAGTTCATCAATTTTATCCTTTATGAGCTAGCATGGAGACCCGTTGGACCTACAGATCATGGGCTCCAACGATTCGAGACTAACCGGTCAAACTCTTTAACTTAGTTAATCAACATTCGTTAACTAACAGGACTGTCCACTATAGCCTGTAGATGCGTTCCCCTCACAGTAGATATATTTGTGTCCATTCGATATAACCGTCATCGGTAAGTTGATCCTTCACAGGCCGTTCGTAACCTCAGCTAGGTAAAAAAAACCGTTTTACCCCTGAGTTACATCTTTTCTCCTTAAGTACCACTATCCCTCTAATGAACAATTGATGTAGGATCAAATCACTAAATCCAATTCCTCTCGGGCCAGTGAGAGGATGAGGCCCCTTATTCAAGACCCGGGATCAGCCCTTAAGGGAAAACCTCTTTACTATCCCTAAATCGGGTAGGAGTGAATTCCATCTTGCTAATTCTATATCCCCATCTATCTACCCAGTCTTATCCCTGAAATGGGAGGCATATTGAGCAGTGCTGATGAGCTTACTCTCACTTATGCAGATCAAGGGAGAATCCTGAATAAATAGGAATTCATAGATGGCTCAGGATTTAGATCAAGTTATTTAGGTCATCAATAAACGAAATTAATCAGTGTTATCCATAAACGGTGTTAATACGTAACAGTGATTATTTCAGGGTCAGTCTTACACAATCTCATTGTGTAGAACACCCCCGCTCACATGTTTCTACACGAACGAATCAGTATCACTTCGTTTATGACACCTTACAACATTTTTAACAATCATAAAGCGGGCCGTATTTAATAGTGTCTCCAGGAAAAGGTACCCAACTTGACCCATGTACTATAGACTGTTTAGGCTATTTACTTGAACTTGATCCAGTTTATGTCTCCACATAAAGTCCAAGTACTCATTATAATAGCCAAGGGTTCGTAGATTATTGGATTTATTAAAAAACAAATTCACTTTCATTTAACAACATTTGTCTGAATAACCTCACATTAATGTTCACTGTTTACAAACTACGAGTTTTAGGACAGAGTACCCAACGGTTCTCTGCAATAGAACTGCATTCATGGACTCTGCAATGTTAGTTGTCATCTGATTGTACCTCAATCCAGGTTGATATGCGCGTGACCATTTATCGAACCCGAGTTCCTCCAAGTACTTTCGCAGTTCTGGGAATCCCGCAAGCTGATTCCAATAATACCTGAAGGTGTTCTTGAATGCCTTAGCTGCTAGGAGGTATAGCCATTCCACGCCTTCGCTCCTAATCTTGAACTTATCATTCAAGTTCATCTGCACGTGATGCATGCAACTAACGTGTTCAGTAGTGGGGAAGACAGAAGTTACAGAGTTATTAATGATTCGGTGCCGGTCAGACACGAACACCAATCTTTCAACATCTTCAATATAGCTCTTCACCCGCTCCAAGAACCAAGTCCATGAAGGGCTGTGAATCCCGAAGTGGAAATGGATTTTCGTTGCTGATTTTCGGGATACAAAATCGAGTTTTAAAGAAGAAAATACAGGGGAAATTCAAACCTTTGAAGAACGTTTCTTCAGTGAATTCCCCTCGAACACCACCACCAGATCTTCCTCGCTATCCTCTTGGGTCTCGGGATCGTGCTTGTGGTAGCACCTTGATCGAAGAGAGGGAGAGATTGAGAGAGTTTGAGAGAAATCCTGGGAGCATTTTTTTTTCCTCTTCTGTGTAACCTTCTATCTAATTCGCCAACACTTGGAGAAGAAGAAGAAGGGTGACGTGGGGTAACTCCCCACGTCACAAAACCTCCCACTCCCCTGCAATTTTGCAGGGGAGTTAATATTAATAATAATATTAATAT